CTCGGTATCATTCTAGTTGCGATATTCTGTATTTTCTCCAGATTTTCTGTTTCCCACTGGGCTATCAGATGGTAAGCTGAGGCACCGTATTCAAGGATTGTTCTAATGAACGAGGTGAATATGCGAGGGTTTCTTTGGACCATGTGGAGAAACTGCGTCCTAATGCCCAGAGCATAAGAAGTCCCGCAGGGTACGATTTCTGTACTTTCTAGTGACCTCATATCATGTCGTGAGAGCACTCAAAAGTCTTTGACAGATGTGTTAGAGTGGAGCGACTGGCCATCCAAGGTGTATGATCGAGAGGCTGGACGTCTGGTGATACTGATGAACTCCGAGTTGCTGGCGTTAAGAGGGATTTGCATTTCATCGGACCACGTTAACAGTCGCTCTAAGTAATGTTGAAGGCGAGCATAGTCGAGATGGTTTATAATTATCCTCCAGATTTGCAAGAATTCCGCAAACAAAGCACATGGTAATCGGAGCTGCTGCGGAGGTTGCTTGATATGCATAAAAAATAATACTGGCCTAAGTGCAGTTCTTTGAAACATGCCACTGGTCGACGGGAACCAGTCTGTCAGGTAGTCACTGACCTGTACTCTAAACTTTCGTCTCACAACAAACTTGTGTAACTCCTGAAATAGAGTGCCACCGATTTCGTAGTTCCTCAGTTTATGAAGGAGTACCTCGTGGTCAATGTACACCACGTCAACATCCTTCCGTTCATTGAGAGCTCGTATCCACTGGCGGTTTTCGTACATAAAGTTGGTGATATAGGATCGCCCTTTCGTAAAGTCGTGTTGCGCTGGCGTCACTACGTCCATCGATTCGAAGAACGACAGCAGACACTTTTTCATAACCTTCTCGAGAACTTTGGATAATACCGAATTCAAACTGATAGGTCTATAGTTCTCTACTTTACGCCGATCACCACCCTTGGAAAGCAGTCCCACTATCGAGCATTTCCAGACCTTGGGGACAAATCCTTCAGAGAGTGATTTAGTAAATAGGTTTGTCACGGCTGGTGAGATGATATTCGATAGGGACTTATGTATTAATGGGTGAAGTCCGTCATATCCGAGTGGCTTTACCACATCGAGATTGAGGAGTAGCTGATACACTTCGACTGCATCACATTGTAGGCTGTCAAGCAAAACTAGCCCAACCTGTGCCTGTACTGTAACAGCCGCCCGTTTACTGAAAAATACGGTGAAGAAGTACCAAGCCAAGGTGTCTGCCCGCTTCGTGTTTGAAATGAGCTTCTGTCCGTCCAAGCTCTCTTAGACCGATAGGTAGCCTCCACGTTTCAGTTGGCGCTTCAATTAGGCAAATATGCTTTTGGATGCAGTTGTAGCCGAGGATGCTAGCTCCTCTTCGAACTGCTGGTGTTTGCGGGGTTACATAACTTTCGCCGTTTCTTGTAAACCGTGTAATTTTCCTTACAACCCGAGCCGATGTATCAATCCACAAAGTTTGCGACCCCCTTGCGATAACTGTCTACATTCTGTATCAAACCTATGTGGTCTAACAGGTCCGACTTTTGAATACTTCAGGGGGACGAACCGAGTAAACAGTGAGTTAAGTTTTCCCTTCACTAATGCCCGACGGGCCTCAAGCGACGCATCCTGTGGTAGTGTCCAATCATTCTGATACGGCTTGGACGAGCACGTTGAAGTCCGCATTCCAATAATTGAATGTCGGCTTACATTGGTTGTAATACGCTAAAAGCAGTTCTATGCTTGCCACAGTGAGGCAGTGGTCATTGTTCGCCAGAGATTCGATGACTCTGATCTCCTTCAGCTTCTGCTCGCAGCTCGTAAACATTAGGTCCGGACAAGATGCCGAGTGCGGAGTTACGCGCGTCGGTTGAATGATTTGTTGCGTTGCCTCGATTTCAATAACCGCTTTTGCAAATTGAGCCACAACGTTGCTATGATCTGGAAGAAGCCGAACTTCTGGCCACAATATCAGTTAAACTTAGATTACCCAATTAATAAGAACTGTGGGCTGCTAATGTGATTCTGTATATGTGGTAGCCAATCGCAACGACGGTTTAATGGGCCACGGTAGGTAACACCCACTGTGTAACTGGGACGAATTGCGTTCCACAATTGCTCGCATAAATTATCCTCGCTCCGACAGGTGCTGGTAAGTTTACCAGATAGTGACGATTTTATGTACAACAAAACACCACCGTGAGCCTTTCCTTTTCGGTCGCATCGGGAACAAGGTTATTCTGGCAACGCTACTACTTGGGGTATGACGTCGGAGTTCAGCCAAGTCTCTGCAAGTCCTAAAACTCCCGGCGGCTCTGAAAGAGCGAAGATGCACAGTTCATCATGTTTGGTCATTAGGTTGCACACGTTGGCGAATGCCACACCGAGGTCCTGGGAGGTACCGCGAGACGTGCCTGGAGGTCGAGCAACCGGTTGATACGTGTTCATACACTCTTCATGATCACCCGATAATTTACATTTTGCAACTCAGTCTCACCTTTTTCTGTACGGCGTTTGAGCTCAATGATCGTGGTCTTCAAGTGATGCCTGTTTCGGGTTCCAAGTCTCGGCGGGTGTGAAATTTTATGCTTTCCAGCCTTGACGGACGAGACAGTATGAGCTGCGGTATATTGTGATTTGCAAAGTGATTCTCAGAGGTCGACATGACTGGTTAGTTTGTTGACCAAGTCGGATTACTTGTTTCGCTGTCACACTGTTTTCGCCAACATCCAAGAGACTGTCGATGAGCCCCTGAAGGAACTCCACTTCGTGATCATAACGTAACTGAGGATTTCATCTTTTGACTCTGGTACTTGGAAGACCATGAGATTATGACCTCTCAACGAAATCAGTGATGAACCTGGGGAAGCAGGACAAGAGAACCATATCTGTTTTGGTTGTTGTTTATCAGCAGGAGACGCCTGAACTCGATTACGTGGCCCCTTGCGCTTTGCAGTGGTCCATGGATCCTCTGTGTTCAGAAATTCACAGGTAGGCTCTGAGAAATTAATAGCCTGATGAATTCAAAGTTACGTGCTACAAATTAGTGTCAGTTTTATTTGAAATTATGTACTTCACCAAGCCATCACATCGAACCTGTCAATCCTTGTTTCGGCTTATTTGAGGTATGTAATATGATGATTCTTGCGAAGACGTCCTTATTATGAGAGGCGCATTTCATAAATGAGACTGGATAGTCGACGTTTTGTACTGGTGAGGCTGGATCAAGTGACGAATTTATCTTTTTAATCATGGACATTGGTCCTAAGCAGTCTACTCAATATGCGGACAAATATACGAGTTAACCACCAAGAGTACTAGACATCGCTATAATCACCAAAACCTCACCTCAGGTCTCAAGTTTGGTTCCCTTGAACATTGGGATGAAATGACTGCAATTTCTTGCACTGCGCTATTTAAGCCTTCTTCCACAGTTAAGTGCAGTACATGCTGCACTAAAATATGTCAGTTTTTAAAGCTTCTGCGCATCATCAGAAAAGGTTAATTAACAGGTTTCAGTGGGAACCGCTTCACTTCTGCCCCTCCATTAATCCAGTTCTACGTAGTTGTAGATATTGTCAAGGTCGGGTTTTGTGCAACTTACTCTCCATATCTTAGCCGATAATGCAAGTATTTGCATCAGGGGTTGAACGTTTGCTAGAAAGTCATTTATATGGAAGAAAATAATGATAGGCCGTGGACAGATCCTTGTGTCACACCACTGAAGGCACGAGCTATAGCAGTGTGTGTTGGGAATACTTACATGGTTTGTTCTGTCTTGTAGGTAACCTTCCAACTAGGGGAGCAGGGAGCAAGTAATATCAAACGTACCAAACTGCAGGAGGAGAACTAAATGATGAAGTTTGTCAAAAGCTTTAGCAAAGTTTAGTAAATCAAACCCAGCTGGACTTTTTCAGCCACCCTTGACCATAACTCCAAAACAAGAATAAAATTGATGATACAAGGCCGGCTTCGACTGAAACCATGTTAGAGCTCGGAAAGAATTGCAGACTGGCAAAATACCACGTTAGATTATTTGCAATCATCGACTCCAACAGGATCTGTCGATTACACCACTTTACCATATGATAACTACTATTTTCATTCAGATGGGAATCAGTGTGACACTGGAAAACTCTTAGGATGTATTGGTATTAGGAGGACAAGCGTTTGAAGAACGATTGGGCAGGTTTTGTCGATTGGCAAGGCGCTGTATTTTCCGAAAGCCAGTAATTTGCTTACAGCAGTTGCTGTGATAAATGTGACACTGGATAGGCTGGTGGCGATTGCAAGGAGCGTTTTGGCTGCTGTTCACTTGATGGTTTAGCTGACAGTCAGCGATAATTTCCAAGCCATTTGATTTTTTTTAATCTGAGTGTTTGATGTACGGAATCGATATGGATACGTATGTATGTCGAGGAAGACTATTCCCTCTCGTGTAATTTTTTGTGCCAGGATTGTCAGTTTGTTTTAATTGTAATTGTGTCCTTCCTCCTTCATACTCAATAAGACCAAGAAGAGTGCGTAGTGGATCTCACAAGCACATTTATGCACGAGTACCGAAAGCCACAATGGTCGAGACAGTCAACTAGTGATTGTTAGGACACTGGCGGACTCTGATTTGATGCTACTACAAAGAAACTTCCAGTGATTTACATCAGAAGCTCCCTGCTGACGAGTGTGTATAATTTCGTAAATGAAACGCGACAAAAACGTTTGCAACACGGCTCATAGTCGCAAAATGACCAATTATAAATGGTCAACCAAAATAGTAGCTTTAACTTAATCTTGATCGCGTTCTGCAACAGACACCACAGCAGCCACCAAAAGGAAAGCATCTAGCTGACTCGTTATGTAAATGGACATTAATAGCAAATTGACGTTCAAAATGATACAACCACGATAAAAAGCTTATGGGACTGTTCGTGCTGTCCAATCAGTTTACATCCCTGAACTATTCCGCTATCACGTCCTACACATACTCTCCTGTCATCTAACCTGTCTCAGGTACTTCCAAGAGATGACGTCTACTATGATTTTCATGACGCAAACCCAGATGCAGAGGAATGCTGCTTCGTGATGCCTATGGAGTTGGAAAAACTAGAAGGTAGGCAACATTATCTTGCACAAACGAATAATTAGTCAAAAACAAATGGTCATCCCAAGTATTATCGAGCCAATTAGAGAGTAAATAATAAATATGTCGCTTTGTTTATAGGGATGAATGTGATAGATTACCTTCGCAGCTACACACAAATCAATGTGAGACGCGAACAAATGTATGACAGAATATACAATAAATGGTCAAGCGAAGCTGGACTAAAGACAGAGGTCAGTTGATACACCAAAAGAAAATATTGTTTGCAAGTTGCTGTTCGGCCAAAGCGATAACGAAAACACAGTTCCTGCCATAGGTAGATAAACTATGCGAACATCGCATGGAAAACAAATGTTCCACATCAACAACTGGAAATGATACCAGATTATTTTGTGAGACTTCTAAAACCTACCTATTTTTGAGCCTAATATCAGTAGTTAGATTGGACACAACGGCAAAAAGGTAGGCAGCTATCTGGCTCCGTACAATCGATTAGCTATGATCTATACGTTGAGTTACAGTACACATATTGATAACAACAATGTCAGTGGTAACAAGAACTAGATTAAGATTAATAGTAATACTAATAATAGTAATAATAATAATACAAGCGAGGCGAATACAAACAATGACCCTTAGGTTATACAGCTAAAAAGCATAAAGTAATGGGACGAATTAAGCTCGCTCCTGACTCAGTGTCTGTGCTATATTTAAGAGGTTCAGCGCCTTCTGATGAGACCTACCCGGAGATTTCTATTCCAGAGGACAACAAATGCCAACATTCGATGTTGGGTTTTAGAGTATTGCACTCTGTTTGTGTCGCGACAATTGATCGTTACTGGGACCCCTATTCAATTTAAATTAGACTTCGATCAACCCGGTCACAACGGCCACACGTAAAGTGGAGCGATTTTGGAACTCATTGCTCCCAGAAAGGCGCTACATAACTCAGTACGTTCATGTTTTGACACGTGAGCTTTAAACAGCCTAGCTGGAAGCAGATGTCGGATTGTATCGACCGCAGCCATGACAACTGGGTCACTGAGATCAGTGAGCAAAGTTTGGCATAGCAGTTAGGAATTCCCTGTCCGGATGAAAGCGCCACTACTATCAAGTTTGCGGAAGCCGCGGCTTTTAATCGACAACGTCTTAATACGTGAACGGTGAGTTTTTCTTCGCTGTTTCTAGTCGTTGTCCCCCTATTCAGTAATGTGCTAGTTCATTTCAGAGTGAATTCTGTTAGCATAGGGGGCAAAATTATTGATTTTTCACCAAAACCCTAAATATGTTACCGGTGAGCAAGCTATCAGACAGTACGAAACAGTACCATACTGCAGTACCCGTTTCGCACTGTCTTGTTCCTGTTGATTCAAATATCTATTCACTGTGGTTACTCATATTTTCTTGCCCTATTTGCCTTTGATACAGTCCCATCTTATACTCAATTACTGTTCTCTTGTGATGGGAGTAACGGCATCAGCATTTTACACATTTATGCGTCAACACGACAGCTGTTTAGCTAAACTGAACTGTTGGTTAAAGCACAACCACGATATTGCCCGAAAAAAGACCAGCCGTGATTCAGTTAGTTAGATACGCATCGTCTGAGAACAGGCGTTTGAAGTCAATAATTTGAGTTCAGGATTATGCGCTATGCATGGGGTTCCAATCCTAATGGGGTGACCACCACTGCGTAAGCGTGCCTCGCATTGTCGAGAATAAACAATGTATTTGTTAATTTATACACAAAATGAACGATGGGATGAAGCGGAGAGAATCACTCACCGCATTTTGTTTTCCACGCGAACGCCTGTGCTAACAGAGCGAACAAGAACATCTTGCTCAGTGGCGTAACAATTATATTTGCCGTAAAACTTTTGCCCTAACGGAGGGCAGAATAGGGCGTGAAGACCGCGCCATCGGCTCAGGGTAAATTGCATATTAACTTGACTGAATCACGGGGAGTGCTGATCTTCAGCAATCCAAACATTCCCACTTAATAAAATGGATCAATGTAGGCAGATTTTGAGTAAAGAATTCTTTTCGGTATTTCTCATCCGACGCAAAAATTACACGATGACGACAAAGTGTTAAGTGTCTCGGATTGGGCTGCATATTGATCAGAGTTTTTAATTCCAACCGGAACAAATCAGTAAATCACGGGGTCATGTTAGATGGTAAATTATGCACAGGAGAGTTAAAGTAACAGTTGTAAGTCGAGATAGAAGTAATAGACATAATACTGTTTTTCTACGCTTACTTCCGACTTGAGGTAGTTGATTTATATAGCTTCCGTCATAGATAAGGGGTGCTTCCGGAATACGCGCGAAAAACGTTCAGGGATAGTATAAATGACCCGGAGAGGGTTTCCCGTCCCTGCGTAACTACACTCTACAAGGCGCGAAATCTTGGAGCTGTTACTAGACCTTGCTTCACCTTTGTTCGTGCAAAGGAGCACGAGTACTGATAGACAAGCATTGATCGAGACAGCGAAGGCAAACTGCCTTTCAAAGATTTTGCGACTAAAGGCTTGTTGTAGTATACTATGATTAAGCGAGTCACAAAAGAAGTTTCTTTAAAAGCGTCTTTTAGGCATTTGGACAGAGCATCAGACGCACTGTCGAGTTTGAAAGAAAAATGCACAATTAGTTCTTTTTTGGGTACAATCATCCTCGGTGTTCTTATCTTGCGTTCCTTCAAAGAGTTGACGCAGAATTTATCTGGATACGCACTTGCTGTTAGAGCGTTACCGATCCTCTGCGATTCTTTGGTGGTGTCCGGTGTGCAAATTATCTGTGCCCGGGAGGCAAGAGTGCGGACTGGATTTCGTTTGTTCTCACTGTGTAATAGTTGTCTGATGAGAATTACCGGAACGCATTCTTTGCCCAGAATCTGCCTTCCTTGATTCGTTCTATTAAATTGCATACTGGTTTTCGATGTAACAGATGATCGTTGGGGACACTGAGGTAAATGTGGCAAAAGTGGCCACAGTGGAACAGGTAAAGGGATCACTTGGAGGAGCGTTTGCAAAGCTATAACACGTAGCGCAATGATGTCGTTGATCATACAGAGAAACATTAAAAATCTTCAACACACACTTTATCCGGATATTTTGTCTTTATATATTGTATCGAACAATCGACGGTAAGATAAATATCGTCCACTCACATGCCGCCCTGGGTGGACCGCTCCACCCCGCCACTCCTCTGAACTTGATCTTTACTCTGTGACTTGACCACGGTGCATGATGTCTGATGTATGTTTAAAGAAGTAGCACTAGGACAAGAGAGAACATGTACTGCGAGCATTAAGAAATAAGTAGTTGAACACCCAAAGGATTGACGAAGCTTGCTAAACATACACAAGACGGTTCCTAGAAGGTAGTGCGTTCTGGGTGAACCTGTCCGTAACTTTTGCATCACTAGCAAGATTTGTGACTCATCTCGACCAAAAGCTATTTGTAGTCTCATGCTACTTGTAAGTGTCTGCACTGTCACACCGTAACCTGTAGGCGGAAATAAACGTCGAGGTTGTCATAACGCGCGCTCCGCCAAAGAAATATATCGTAACCGCAATAACGAAGCATAGCCTAGGTTATTTCGGCTCCGTCAACCGCAAGCTAAAAACAATAAGCACAGCGTTGTACCACACGAAATAAACCAGTTGAATTATGAAGTTAGTCACTATGTAAGCCATGAATGTTAAGTACAACGAAATATAGATCTCGCAAGTCGAATAAGAGAATACTGCTCGATCGACAATACTGGCCCGTTTGCATTGTCTAAATTGGTAAATGGTGGTTTGAGTAAGCAGACAGACTAGCTGTTTAAAAAATTGGAACAGCCGAACACATTGCGGATCGAGTTAACGCGAAAACCGAAGAGGAGCTATCAAGTCATTTGTACAAAGAGCTAAGGAAGCGTATTCTATAACAGCTGTCATCGATCGACGGAAACTGCTAGAAATATTCTTGCGAGTCAGCTCGTCCTCACATGGTCAAATGAAAATTCATTTGGTTGGGACGGGGTTAGAACAGCTAACTCGCGTCGGCACACACTGGGACACTCGAAGAAAGCAAGATAAGGCAGAACGAACCAGTTAGTCCACAGATGTGAGCTTGTGAATACGGCCCTGGGAATGTGGTGGTGGAACGTCCGCTAAATACCAGTGGCAGGTGCGTAATGCAAGAGCCAGACATTAAATAAACGAGGATGCCGGTGGACAGTTGACTGTTTACACAATCTCGATGACGTGCGTAAGGAACACCACACATGGACTGTGCAATCGAATGGCTGCAGACGCCCTTACTGACATTCGCAAGGGTCAAATTGAGGTAATCCACATTTCCACAAATAATGGAACAATAGATCTGCTTGCGAGAGTCCCCTAGCCGTGCTGAATGCTGAAGTAATCAGGATCGCCAAAGCCGCAACATTTCTTTGGCTAACCCTGAGTGCAAAAGCCGAGATTCAGTAGACATGAGGAAAGGAAATAAAAAAGCAATAGAAAATGTAGTTGAGAGAAAAGTTCAAATAAGTGAAACAAAAACAAACTCGGATAAACAAGCTGATCTAACTTGTTAGAAACGACGTCAACAATAGCAGCTTGACTGTAGGTAGAATAGAGACACCGAGTGCTTGATAAAAATCAGCAACAATATTCAGCTGTTTCAGCAACAAATTACTATCTTGCTACAACTTTTGCCTATTTGACACACTAGACGTTGCGTAAGTTGAACGGTTGGACTGTGGCCGTCAACATGTTCAACAGCGTACTGGATCTATCTATGTCTTGCACCTCGCCTTTCAGCATATTCTACCAGCAATGCGTGAAATTGTGGCTTGTGATGTCACCGACGGTCATGTGGCACTTATTTTCAAGATGGTCGGCATCAAACCTGAGGAGGAAACTGAAGTGGACAGTCACACTTTCCGGTTAATTTGTGCGGCTGCAGAGAGAGTGATATTTTCTAAACTGCTGTAAGTGTGACCTTAAGATGTGTCCATAATATTCGAAATTTACCCCTAATACCAGTAGAAAAGCATATGTTCGATTGAACGGCAATGTGGTTGCTTTACTTAGTTGCGACAAACCAATCGACCAGTCGACTCGCGGATGAAAGTAGAGTACGGGCAGCTGGATGTAACCACCACTAATGTGGAATGTAATTTCCAATCACTAGGGGAAAGTTAATGAAACGTAAGTTCAGGAGTATCGGTACCTTAATAACAAATATTAAAGGACAGGAAGTATGGTTGATCGAGCCATACTGGATCAAATGCCGCTCCTACCCAATGGGTACAACAGGTCGTTCCGAAAAACATCATCTAGTCAGCAAATTGAGTTAGCAAGGAATCCATTAGCTTGCTTATCTTATCTGCACTGCTTGTCAATACCACACGACAAGTGTTTAGAAAAAAGGCGGATCCCAGAGAACTTAGGAATAAACCTGAGCAAACACTATACATTATGGTTCGTCGCCTAACCGATAGGCAGCGTACTAACATGGTTTTCAAACTACACCACCAAAGGCTGAAACCTTCACATGTAAGGGTTTTCCACGGAGCACCCATGGGAAATTGTCGTCACGGCAGTAATGATTAATAAGTGCACAGAAACACAACTCCTCAAGGTCGTCAAACTTTGTCTAATTATGTTGCTGGTTTCTGAGAACAGTGTCGATGAAAAAATGTCGTTTAGCATGGATGATAGCACATCTAACTTCCTAGCTCTTCAGCTTGCAACTTTAATTGATCTTCAAAAAATAAGGCAGGGTAAAGCCAACTTTTTAGTGATCCTTCTCGATTATCAGCTGGTAGCTTCAGAACTTACGTTCGTGTGGATACCGTAAGGAAACACTGCACCCTCCCAACGACAACTATGTCAGGCAGGCACGCAGATACGCATTTTGTATAACCCTCGGTAATCAACCCTGAGCTAAGTGAACTTAAAGATGCTTTCCTGTCGATCATTAAAATGAGCGATTTCCTCAACCTCAAATCAATTAACCAAAAAGCAAGGGACTCCTCGCTTTGTAATCAAAAATGGACAATCAACCAGCTGTGTTCCACAGCTGGTGTGCCGGTTGATCGAACCCATTCGATTAGCATCAGAATGACCACCTGTTGATTCGCCCAGAGCCTTATATCTAATGCGAATGATTGTAAACTTTAAGCACAGAATGAAAAAGTTTATCTGCGAGACAAAGTGAGAACCACTTGGTTCGACATTGGTAACAAGTACCGTGAGCGTTGAGCAAGCAGGTAAGCTAAGTAGGTCATTTTTTCCGTGGCCGTTAACAAGGACGCAGCGACGGTGCGTCGAAATGTGTACGCCTGTATTGAGGCTGACAAAGTACATACCGTCGACCATCGCCCCAAATGCACGATGTTCAAGCGGTCGAATGTGAGCTTCAGCTGATTTGACTGTAACCACTGTGGTAGGTTTGACTGTGCCCGACCCGAATAGAGTCACGGCGGCCGATCTCCCTACAACACCGGTACGATTGACGGTTGATGCTGCAAACTGCTATTTAAGCTAGTTGATTTGTCGTCCCGATTCTTAGTTTAAACAATGATTCCACTAATCTGCGTGTAACACAAGCCGAGTCATCATAAAACGCATTTTTACCAGCCCATCGAGTGCCGCATTCGGCATATACTAATACACTCCCCCTAGCGAAATAATAGGAGGCATGTGTAAAACAGGACCTTTTGTAGGTATCCAAGCAAAATTCTTCAGGCAGACAAGGGGTATGTAGTATGGAAGTAAATGAAGCAATGGTCGAAACAACAAATCCAAAATTATCGTCAGATCCTCAAGTATACAGTAGTTTACGCGTACCCACATAGTCTGATATACCCAAAAATATACGCAGTTTTATCAATGATGGCTGAAATGTAAGCCGATTTACGGATGTATATGTAGATGACCACGCGTGATTACGGCCAGATTATAAATTTCTAAGAGAATGGTTGACAATCTGCTAGAGTAGCATTAGTCATGGTGGCACTCCGGGTGTTGACGTTGCTCCATTGATCTCGGTCGATGACCAGCACGCAAACATCAGCAGCGTTCATAAAAAGCCAACTCATTCCAGTTTTGCGAATGTGTGATGATACAGACCGGCGAGTTTCATTTGACAACTTTCAGAACCCAACAATCCAGTGACTACGTTATTTTCAAGGTTGCAAACTGAAAGAACAATCGGTCTGGAGTAGGACGTAAGCGTCCATCATTTAAACCGAGATTCATGAGTATAAAAGGGTGAACGGCTTCAACCAGGGACCGATGTCCACTCAAATTCAATACGTTTTACACGGTTCTGCATAGCTCGGGTCTAATAAATGATTCCCTTTTAACAGTGGAGCATAGAAAGTGAACATGGGTCTACCGATCATCCACTTATTTTCGAGTTGCCACGCGAAATCTAAATCAAAATTATTTTGCACAGCAGTGCGTTCGTTCTAGATGTGAATCCCTAATTCACGGACGCAACCGTTATTGCGAATTCTTAATTCCTTGATGTAACGCCTACTATCTATTTAGAAGTAGTATATTTTTCATCACATCTGTAACCACGATAATCTGGCAGCTCACCGCTAATGATCACGTTCAGAATCGGAATAAACTGATGAAATGCCTATTTCATATTTTCTGCTTAGTCTTTATCAGGTAAAGTTTGTCTGTTTACTGACAACGATATGCACATCTCAGAGATTCGTACAATATTTTTATTAAACCAATTTTTACTTAACTGAATGCGTGCGGACAGCTCGAGCAGAACACATGGAGTTATATCTGTAGCTAATTACAAATATGTGCACCTATTCGTAAGCTGTTCGTTTCTATTTTAAATAAATAAAAAATGTTTTATTCCCGTTAGAACGGTAGAACCACGGTTGCTTCAGTGTAATTTGTTCTGCCCACCATCCTTAATTCTCACAGCCCATACCGTACGCTAAGATAGGTATCGCCCGCTCCTTCCAAAACAATGATTTCTGAAGTACCAGGAGTTTTCATTTTGGCAATCTGACTTTATTGTGAGTGCAACAGAGTTACAGAACTCAGCACTTCAAGAAAAGGCAAAATTAACTCAGTGAAAATTACAGGATGATTGGCAAACCAAATCCCTCGACATAAACTGTTCGTTCACTTCCAAAGCTAAAGATCATTATGATCCTTGATTCAGTTAAAGTAAGAAACTTATAACAACATCGGTAAATCCGTAACCAGCAATTGAATCCAATATGTTGTCTAGCTTGCTCCTTCCATCTATCCTTTCACTCAGATATGACACTAGCATCAAAACCAAGCATAGGTGTAAGACGATGACACCGATGAAGTTAAATGGTACGAATCAAATAATGTACTCTTCAAGATGTCACAATCCACTCGAAGTTTGGTAAGCTACGGTATCAGACCCTGAATTGATAGATGCTATAGAATGTGTAAGTTAGCCATATGCCGCAGAGAAGAAGCATAAGCGCTGTAACCGTGGACTACAAGGAGTTAATTGACCACCGTGTCTTACGAACGCATTACAGAGGCTAGGAATTGCATATCGTCCATTCAGTTCAGTCCAGCTGTTCATTGATATTAACAGGTCCCAGGTGCAAGTACGTGTTCACGAGAAGCAGACTTGTTCGTGTGGCAGCGCGTACGCGTGGGCCTAACCACGACCGCACTTCGTAGCTTGTGATTGGATGCCTGTCCGTTCGCGATCAATACCAGGGTTGTTTTGAATATACTGAGTGTATGTACCGTTGGCGTGAATACAAGTTTGTGTTGCGTACCAGTAGAGTTCTGCTTCCTCGTTCGGGGCTTTGGTCGTGTTTGTTCAAGACCCTGCGTGCAGGGGACTAGTGTACGTGTTGATACAACAGTTCGCTAGAATCATATGTCGCTGTCCGCAGCCGCGCATCTATTTCAAAATATATAGTAACAATAGACTCGCTAGTGTGAACGATCAGATAAAGTATACAGTTAAAATAGCGGTTGTGTAAAGTACCAGGATACTATTCGGACAAATGAAAACTTTAGTAATGGTCGCAGTTACAACCTTGACGGACGTTCACTAGGCGCGTCGTTACCATATATTAAGAATTCGTTGTTACACCCGTCTGTAGCCACTCTGCCACCTGCACTAGGATAACCTTCGCAGCGATAGGTGGCGTCGGTGAGGTAGGTGAGGTCTAGGTTACAAAAGTGAGACGGATTCGTGAGCAATTAATGGGACAATCCAGCAAATAGAGTTTGGAACAATGGTGCAGAGGTCACAACAAGCCCAATGTATGCAGTCCATAGCAAGAGAGGAAAGTGTTGCGTTTCCACGGCATCGAAGGAAAACAGGATTAGACGCAAAGTTTCGTGTTTTTATGGCAATGTTGAATAACCATAGCAGAAAGAAAAGTAGCCCCCTCATGTATTTTACTCCCAGATAAAAAGAGTACCCGAACGAAGGAAAAAAATGACAGGTGAGTTGTATTCACATTGATGCACAAAGCAGGACAACCGGTGACAATGGTTAAAAAATTTCTTGGTATTACCTTTCCAGAAAAGAAGGTGGAGCACCTTGTGCATTGAGACCAATGCTTGAAATAGCAGAATTCCAACGTTTCCTACGAGATTACAATCGACTAAAACTGCGTCCGGAGCTGGAAAAATTCTTAGACTTGATAACCATATGAATTTGTAATCAAAATATATCAATGGTAAAAGGTTATCCTTGCTACACTTTCCGACAAATGTACCCACCCCACAAGTGCCAGAGAACTCAACGCGGCAGAAAACTAATTGTTTCATGGTGTAAACTACTGGTTATGCAGTTAGTAGGCTAATCCAATTTTATCTTTCAAGTCCCACACGTGTCGTTTTGTGTAAATTTAGTCGTCTTTTACTGCGCTATAAACTAGCACAGTTGCTTGAATCAAATAAACTTAATTTATTGACCTGTATGCGTTTTGACATACATATAAGAATTATCGCAGTTAAGGAGGCAACGCCAGATGTATAGTACAAATACATCCGGGTCCGCTGGGCTAAACACGCAAGTTCGGCGGCCAATCAGCATCGTGCCAATCAAGTAGCCTAAGGAAAATCTTATCCGCTCTTCAGTATCAAAAATATTGATCGAAGCTTACGCTTGATTTGAAAGGTAAAGCGGAATATGCGGAGGGATAAAAGCTAGAAAATAGTCTCATCCCGATTACACAAAAGCATGAATTCGGTTGCAGGACTTAGAAAACGCCTACTAAGAACGGCCTAGGTTATTGCAATCATGACAACGCCACATGAACTGTGCAAGCAGATAACACTACTGAAAGTTCTTCTGCTACCGTGGCCATGATCTCAGTGTGGACACATTTCACTTCACCCACAGACCGTGACTCTGTTGTCCTTGTCCTCCCATAGGACGAACAAATCATCTTGCTTTGTGTTCATTTGTATGTGTGACTATGTGTGACCAACAGCATGGATTGAAGAGTCTGAACGACGAACAATGCAGCTGGCGTGAAATTGACGATCCCTAGCCAAACTTTCACAGCTCATTGCAAGGCTTTAACCAGTTTTACGTATGTATCGGCCCGATGAGAGATTGCGAAAAGAAATTTCTTCGCTGAATTGGATGCTTACATCTCCATGGGTATATTAAGCGAGTTTCTCATATATATATATATATATATATATATATATATATATATATATATATATATATATATATATATATATATATATATATATATATTGTGCGGCACGGCAGTTGATATTTTGCATCTTCATCTAATGTGTACTAATAGTGATGATGTCTGGAAATGGTGGCAATCGATGACATCAGCACAAAGCTCGGAGAAATTAGTTAAAGGTAGGTAAGGTAGCTAGTAACTACGAAACTGAATCCACCACCCGTGTCCCGGATAGCATTGAATAGAACGGAGAGGTCATTGAGCAGCGAAACACTTTCACCTTTCAATAAGGATGGAGAAAAGTCGTTAGATCAAGGCCTCTTGCTTCATTTCAACAATGAACTCACGCTTAATCTCTGTTAACGTGCGAGGAGTGATATCAGCGTAGCAGGTGGAATAAGGCAACGTCCCACCAAACGCGCTAAACTAACCTTCAAAACGCCTTGCGCAATGGCTGGTTAAAGTTACTGAGAATGGACCAACCGTTTGTATGTTTGAGTTATTATGTTAGTTACAGGGCTATCTTCGGCCGCATAATGGAAGTGTTTTATCGGATGGAGTAGGCAGGCCAGCGAGACTCCCTAGGAAGTCGATCGAATGCGAACCGAAAGGCTTCGGCTAATGGCCGCACTAATCTCCGCTGATTACATGACGTTTATCGATTGTCTTTAAAGTGTGGTACAGTTCGCATCACATCTATGTGCTCCGTTGATCTTGTAGGTCACAAAAAATCAAGCGACATGTGAGTGGTGGGAAACAAGTGACAGAAATAAATGGTCTGCGACATGGAAAAACACTGGTTCGATGAGAGCTGAGGCTGTTCTGATACAAAACACACAATTGCTTGTGGCAAACTGCCCACTTACTATCCTGAACAACTCAATTTGTTTCGTTTCTGTGCTTATTTGACTTTGATTTGTGTGGAATTTTGTTTTTCCAAGCACGTTACAAGATTCGGTCTGAATCAGTGACACCACTCGACTTGCTTCTCAGACAGTAAAATGTTCCTCGGAGTATGTCGTTCGAGACCTAACACCTCCCCCCTTGTTGAAGTAGTTGGACCGGTACTTGTATAAAGCTTAGTTGGGAGGTCGACCTGCAAGGGTTGCACGCATCTTCTTATCCGTTTTGGCCTTAGTTGGTTTTCACCTTCAGCCCGTTGAACGAGATGCGTATCTTGTCTGGTCGAGGTGCTTGGCTGTAAAGTGTAGAACAATTCTGATACGTATTACTCGAGTATTGCTGGATCGCACCTGGACCCTTAGTCCGCGCAAGAAGTGAATAAGAACACACCGGATGGGACGTGTCAAAAACTGTAATGGTAGCTTGTAGGTTACACCAGATGAATAAGTCGAAAAGGAACCAAGCAGCACAAGAAAATGAGTGGACGAATCAGCTATCAGTCAATCGATCTGTATGTGTCTGTGTTTTGCTCATCGGTTTAGCGGACGACACACATGTAACATCCCCTCACGTGACAGATGGAAGCACAGTTGTGAAATGTAACGTTCTATCGGCTTAGGTGAGCGGTGCGGTTTCCGAATAGCAATCGGCTGATGGATTTCTTCCGTTTGGTTTTTGCTTGTCTCCTCCAGATCTTCTGGAACCACTTTCTCTTCCCCAGGGTACGGCGTGACTGGGGCGCGGGGTCGGATGAAATCATTGTGCCTGCGTACTGTCGCTCCACTCTCTAGTTGTATTTCGGCCTCCGTTTCTGAACTCGTAAGCATGGTGCCAGGCTGCCATAACTACTCATGTGGTAGATTCGTGTAAACATCACGTTTCACTATCGACGTCTGGGGCTTAACTGGTGCGCGTCCACTTTCATGCATACGTTGTTGATGGCAACGCCTGGTCTGACAAGGGTCTGGAAAAAGTAGGTCTAGCCTCTTACGTAGTCGACGCCCAAACATTGCCTCCCCAGGGCTCTTTCCGATAGACTCTAGCGGTGTGATCCGATATGCGAACAAGAATCGGTCAAGTTTGGTTAGTAACGAGCCATTACGATGCTTTAGAAAACCAGCTTTCATGGTTTGGACCGCTCTTTCAGCTAAACCGTTTGACGCTAGATGGTACGGTGCGGAAGTCATTTGATGAACGCCGTTGCTCTGCAGGTATTCTTTGAACGCTGCACTCGTAAATTGCGGACCGTTGTCAGTGACTAATGTTTCCGGTATGCCATGTGTAGATAGACTAGAACGTACGCCATTGATTTTAGCTTCTGCAGTAGCGTTTGCAACAACATGCACATGAATCCATTTGGAGTACGCATCTACTAAAAGTAGCAACATTTTTCCTTCGATCGGGCCAAAGTAATCGGCGTGGACGCGTTCCTATGGGTTGTCGGGCAACTGCCAAGGGTGAATTGGGCCTGCTGGATTATCTCTTTGATATTTTTGGCATGTGTTACAAGTACTCAAAAATGCTTCGAGGTCTCGGTCAATCACTGGCCACCAGCAGTAGGATCTGGCGAGGGCTTTCATGCGGACAATACCTGGATGTGTATATTGTAATTCTTTCAGTACAGCTGACCTGAGAGTCAATGGAATAACGATGCGAGATACACGTAGGATACATCCTTCATGCAGGCTCGGCTCAAATCTACAATTGAAAAATGGACGCAGATCACCAGGGGCTCGCGAACCCCAGCCACGCAACAGCATGCGTTTCACAGTCGATAGAACGGGATCTCTGTCTGTAGCTTACCTAACCATGTCGCCAGATATGGGTGTAGTATTCAGGTATTGCAAAATTTGAACAAACTCGTAGGGCGCGTCACCTCTTTCCTCCTGTTGGGCAATCTGTGGCAATCTACTGAGCGCATCAGCGACATTATTGTGAGGACCGGCAATGTATCGGATTTGATAATTGTAAGCAGAAAGTAGGAGGGCCCAGCGTACCATTCGGGGTGCGTTACGTTGTTCTATGCCTCTTTCCTTACCGAGAAGTGATAACAGTGGTTTATGGTCAGTCTGCATCTCAAACTGGTTGCCCCACAAATACTGATGGAACCGCTTTACTCCGAATACTACGGCCAGTGCTTCCTTGTCTAATTGTGCGTAATTTTTCTCAGCAGGTTGTAACGTGCGGGACGCGAAAGCAATAGGGCGAACTGTTCCGTCGTGGACTTTATGTCCCAGCACTGCCCCGACTCCAAAAGGTGAAGCATCACACTGTAGGATGAGGGGTTTGTTGGGGTCGTAAGGTACCAAGACTGGTGAAGAAGCAAGGAGACCTTTTGCCCTGTCAAATGCTTGTTGCTCTTCCTCGCCCCATGCCCACTTAGGATCTTTTTTCAGCAAGATGTGAAGTGGTGTTAGAACAGAAGCAAGATTAGGTAGGAACCGACGATAATGTGAAAGCATTCCAACGAACGAGCGTAACTGGGCTCCGTTACGAGGTGAGGGTGCGGAAATAATGTGTTGTAATTTACTTTTCCTGGCGTGTAAACCATGCTTGTCCAGTCTATAACCGAGGTAGTCAACTGAATCAACTAGGAAAGCACATTTGGAGCGTTTCAAACGCAAACCGTGTTCAGAGAGTTTATGCAACACCCGGTCCAACGTGTACAAGTGCTCCTTTTCTGTGCGACCCGTGATAAGGATATCATCATAAGCTATGCGCAAGTGTTCGGTATGTCACGCACGATATTGTCAATTATCCTTAGGAAGATTGCCGGCGCTGAGTTAATCCCGAAAGGCAGTCTAGTGTATTCGAATAGCCCCAAATGTGTCCTGATCGTCGTAAGACGTCGGGAGGTCTCATCCAACTCTCAGTGCGCGCAAGTGTTTTCATGCGGGCGACTCCTGGGTGGCCGTTAAGCAATTACCTTAGCACGCGTAGCCTGAGTACCTCGGAAATGATAAGGTGATCCGCGAAAAATAGACAGGCATAGACTTCGGAAAAAGCTACGAGTCGCGCGAAAAGCTGTACCAGAGATTCGTCAGCGCACCGCTTTGGCCAGCCTTGTCTTGTATAAGTCAATACTTCCTGTAGCAATGCGTCTTGGTTCGTGGATTGCTGAAGCATTCTTGCGTTTATCGCAAGGTACTCAGGGCATCACGTATTATGCGGCTGATATCCGTGTCGGTTGTGAATGAAGCAATGACGGCATCCTCAGCCTCAGGTTGACTAGTAGCGATTGATATGATCTTTCGCTTGCAGAACAGAGTCAGGTGAAGAATACCTCATGTTGAAATCTTATCCCAAAAGCAAGGTGGCCTGTCTCCGTGTACGAGGGAATACTTTTTGGATCCAAAGATAA